CTGAAGGTATCTTGGCTCATAGTGCTGAGTTTAGGATCTGAGCTCAGTTAATCGAACACCCAAAGTCCAGGCACTATGCACAAGTCCTCTCAAAATAAAATTCCTTAAAAGGATATTGGTTTTCATAGACCTTGTTTTATAGATTTTAGGCTTATCACAAAGGAGAAATGTATAGCAATTTCCCATACATTTCCATATTCCCAGTCCCACCCGTGAGTGGTCTTCCCCACCTTTTAACTCTCACTGCTGTGGCACTGTTGTCAGACAGATGTACATACAATTAACATATCATTGCCACGTAACTTCAGTACTTCACATGAGGAGTTTACTATTAGTGATGAACATTCTAGGGGCCTGGACAAATAATGTAATGACCTATAATAAAAAAAATTCTACCAAATGACTGTGTTTATTACATGCTGGCACCATTTTAAGATAGCATTATCAAGATTCATTTCATTGCTTTTGATTCCTTGTGTATTTCTCTCTCCCTAAACCCAACCCCTAGCAGCCATTGGTCTTACTTCTATCTAAATAGCTTTTTCTCTTCCACAATGTCACGTAGTTTGATTCATGTAGTATGTAGCCCACTTATACTTATTAATATGCACTTAAAATATTCCTCCATGTCTTTTCATGTTTTGATAGCTCTTTTTTTTTTGCTCCTGGATAATATTCTCTGAATATAGCATAATTTTTTTATCCATTTTCCTACTGAAAGACAACTTGTTTGCCTTTAAGCCTGGCTAATTATAAGTAAAGCTGCTATAAATATCTGGGTACAGGTTTTCTGTAGAGTTCAGTAGTCTGAGATGTTGGTGGTGGTGGTTTCTTTTGGATGGGTGGCAACACACCCCAGAGAACAATTATTGAATCATTATCTAAGGATATATTTGGAGCTAGACTGTCCTCTGTAGTATTTCTCTGAGTATTTCTCTTATTCTTTACCAGTATTTAGGGTTGCCATGATCTGAAGTTTAGCCATTCTAATTTGTATGTATACAGATGCAGTGAATCTCATCGTTCTTTTATTTGTAGTTCCTAAATAATATACAGTGGTTGTACTTATTTGGCATCTCTGTCGCATTTTCTTCAGTGAAGTGACTTTTGCCTATCTTCTGTAGGATTGTTTATTTCCTTCCTGCTGAACTTTAAGCGTTTTGTACATTTTGAATAATAGGACTTCATTAGTTATGTACTTTACACGTATTTCCTCCCAGCCTTTGATTTTTTTTTTGGTAAAAGGACATTCTTCAATGATCAGAGATAACCAATGACATTTTCTTAAGATGATAGACTACTTATTGGTTACATTTATTCCAGTTAAGAGACTTTTATTTATACATTGTTCTACACAACACTAACATTTCTGGAATAAAATAATTTAACAACAACAATAATAATGATCAGCTTTTGAATTATCATACATACATTGTCATTTTGTTTTGTTTTGTTTGGAAGACTTGGAATTGAACACAGCACAAGTGCATACCAGGCAAATTCTTTATCAGTTGTGTCTACCCTAGACTGTGATCTATCATATATATATATATATATATATATATATATATATATATATATATATATATATATATATGAAATAAAACTGTGATGGGACAGACAAAACAATATCCCAAAGCTCCTTATCAGGTACTCAAGGCAAAATGAGAGATTTTGGGAGTATTCTTTAGCAAGAAGGAAGAGGAGGAGGAAGAGGAGTAGATAGATAAGGAAGGGAAAAAAGAAGAAAGGAAGGGAGGAGGAAGAGAAGGAGGAAGAGAAGACAAGGCAAACACAAAGAAAAGAGAGAGAAGACAAAGATAAGAAGAAGGGGAGGAAGAGGATGGGGAGGAAGAAGAGGAGGAAGAGGAGGAGGAAAGGAGGAAGAAGACGTAACTATTAATATATTCTGAACATGTGTGAGTTTCAAAATAGTTTTGATGCATAAAGAAACAGAAAAAAGTATAGAGTTGTGGAATTTTATACTGTGGTTGCCTGATGAGGGAGGAGTTAAAAAGATGCAATTCCAACCAAGAGGTACAAGGAAAGCATTAGGGTGACTGATAAGTTTCTTATGATCTTGGTCAAGGTCTCCTTTGTATATACAAGTCAAAACTTATCAAATTATAAACCATAGGTTCTACAATATCCGTCAATTATACCTCCATAAAGCTATAAAAAGGAAAAAGAAAACTTGGTTTCTAAATGACAGATGTTGATATAAGTAGCCTTGGCTTTAATATTTGAATGTGAAAACTATACAAGAAGAGTGATTTTTCCAGGAGCACTGAAAATGTCATTAGCTTACTACAAGAGGATTTGTAAAACACAGAACCACTTCAAAACACAAAAAAGCTATGTTGGATGTGCTAGCCTGGTCTTATGATGTTACTGGGGAGGCTGAGACAGGAGAATCATAAGTTCGAGTCCAGTTTATATTACATAGTGAAATCTTATCTCAAAAACCTGGCTATGGATGGTGACCTGTAATCCTAGCTAATCAGAAGGCTGAGGTCTGAAGACTGCAATTGGGAAGCCTGCCCAAGAAAATCTACACTGTTATCTCCAGTTAATTCCCAAAAGGCCTGAAGTAGACTTATAGTTCAAGTGGTAGAATGGTACCTTGAACACAAAAGCTCAAGGACAGCTTTTAGGCCCCAAGTTCAAGCCCCAGAACTGGCATACATACATTCACACACACACACACACACACACACACACACACACACACACACAATTCAGGCTCTTTTTTTTTCAATTTGGGCTACATTAAAATTCTACCTTTAAGGAAAAAAAATGTAGTGTAGTTTTCTATTTGCTAATGAACAAAACAGTATTAGATTTACTTTACCTCAGCTTGAACTAGCTTGAGTTCACCGCAGCAGAGGTAGGAAACATTCATTCAAATTTGGTCTTTGAGAACATTTATGAACAATGTCTTTGTCAACTAGCTTATCGCTATTAAGGGTCACATTGTATTTCCTGCATTATGTGGACGCCATAACACAACCACAGCCTTTGTATCTTACACTTAAGGAATGAGGAAATCAGAGCCTGGCTTTTACAACCTACAAACAAGAACAGCTGGCCACATATTTATTCCCTTTACCTCACACACCTGTGTACCCTGAGGAGCCATCATAACTTCTTGCTGACTAACACTGAGGCACTTAATTAACTTTCACATTTTTCTTAACCAAAACAACAGTAAAGGAACCAACAGATAGTACTTTAGATAGTACTTTGAGATCACTGAGTAGACACACTCTGTGTGATCTACCATCCCTGGGGATTTATTAAACTGCTCTTGAGCAAACATACTTTATAAATTGAGACCTGGAAGGCACCCAGGGAGTGGTTATAGTCTAGATTTATTGCTGAACTTTGGCCCCACACTCTCAACTGGTTGGTGTTGCTGTGTGTGGAAGCAGGCCCACTCAGCAGAATAATTTAGTATTATTAGCCTGACATTTCGTACTAATGTCATCCTAATCATGGATCACTGTTTCTTGACTCAGAAAGATTACAAACAAGTGTTAAGAGAAGTTCTTCTAAGAAGATGTTAGTTAAAAATCAAAATATAACATGGACTCTAGCTAGCCATGCATGGGTGGCTTATGCCTATAATCCTAGTTACTTACAAGGCTGAGATCTGAGGATCAGGATTTAAAGTCAGCCTGTGCAAGAACTCTTTGAGACTTATATCCAATTAACCACCATAAAGCCAGAAGTGGAGGTTTAGTTCAAGTGGTAAAGTACTAGCCTGCAACAAAACAGCTCAGGGACAAACACCCAAGCTCTGAGTTCAAGCCCCAGGACCGGCACACAAAATGAAACAAAACAAACCAGAAGACTAGCTAAATTTGACTACTAAGAGCTGCGACAGCTGGATAGTAACGGTTACGGCAGTAAAGTAAGCTTTCTTGTTCTGTTTTCCTTTGGAGAGTGGAGCTAGACTTAATGTTGAGGAGCTACTATGCTATCGATGAATATATTACAAACTTTTATGGTCACAAATTTATTCTTCTACTTATTATATATGTGGAAAGTAAAAAAATTATAATTGGCTCAATCTTGTTAACTATATAATTATGAAAGAAAATAATATAGCATACAAATTTTTATTTTAGTCTTCTCTCTCTAAGCCACAGAGAAGGAAGATCTAGACATCGCTACAGCTCTACACCAAAGGAAGCTAATTTTTAATTTTCTTGACCTTCTAGAGGCATCACAGAAGATGGATAGGCACAGAAAACTGCATTCTAATTTACAAACAAGACTAATAAAATCCACAATCCTTCAAAATCTTTCAGCTACTAAGAAACTTTTTTGTTGTCAGTCATGAGGCTTGAACTCTGAGCCTGGGCACTGTCTCTCAGCTTTTCAGCTCAAGGCTAGTGTTCTACCACTTGAGCCACAGTGCCACATATGGCTTTTTCTGCTTATGTGGTGCTGAGGAATTGAACCCAGGGCCTCATGCATGTGAGGCAAGCACTCTACCACTGAGCCGCCTTCCCAGTCCCTTAGAAACTTTTTAAAATCAAGTGTGTGCTTCTCAAAATCTAAAAAACTGAAAATTAGATGGTAGCTTGTCTTCTTATTTTTAGGTGACATTGATTTCCTTTGACCTTCCAGAAATCCAAGAGGTCAAATCCACTCTGGCTGCCCCTTATGTCCCTAGATGTAACTTACCTACTATGAATTCTAGATCATTATTAGGCTTGAGGAGTAAAAGCTACATTAAGACTACTGAGTTCCACAAAGTTGTTTATTTTAGTGTATTTTCTACTAGTCTTAAAATGAAATGCTCCTACTTTATTGACTTGTACATTTATTATTTTATAGCAGGCCTGAAAAACTATTAGAATAAATGAATTGTACAAGAGGGCTCCATTGTCACATTTACAACATTCCTATGAATTTGCAAATTCATCCCTCCTATATTATTTCTCTATACATATTTTCACAACTTGTTTCCTTTTGTTATTTGTTTCTTTCAGGACTCATGCCCGTTGCACAACAGCCTGTCTACTGTGCTTCAAAACATGGCATCATTGGGTTCACCCGCTCAGCTGCGGTGAGGATATTCTAAGCACAGTACCTTAGCTTTCTTTTTGCATACCTATATATGAAACACAAGTGTAATAAAGTAGAAGTAAATAACTCCCAAAGTCAATACATCTACAATTTACTTCCATCTCTAGAATAAAAATTAGTTAATAATGAGGGCATATTCCTAAGTTTGAGCATTATTAGCTTCAGGCTATTTGAATACAATAGGCTATGGGCACTTGATATGATTTGTTATTGATATTCTATGTAAATGGTATGTGCCCATGAGGATGGAAGGAGAAGCAAGATCAGGCACCAAATCTACAATACTTCATACAGACCATGCTGCCACGGAGGCCTGGGGTGAAAGACGCACAGAGCTTAGAAAAATGCTTTACACCTAATTGCCCAAGTGTGTTGATAGTATAAAGTGAGATTGCCTTTTTACAACTGACAAAGAGACGGCTGGGACTGAGCCTTCCAGTAAGGGAAAGGTACCAGGAATTTAAGAAGGAGCCAGATCAAAAGGGACTTGACTATGACTATGACCTTGGACTTTTACATTAATTGCAGTTCCCAATAGGCTTTGACAAACTTTAAGAAAACCATTCTGCGTAGTATCTGGACAGTGCCTTATAAAGTGTAAGTGTAGAAAAGGAAGAACAGAAGGGTTTTTGGTGATATGTCTAGGTGACACAGAGAGAAGACAGGGAAGTTGAGTTTTATATTAACGGGGCAAAACATTAGAGGACAGAAAAACAAGTGTGTGGATATTAATGTTCAATCAAAACAAAGATAGGAAGTCCTCAGGCTGATTAGAAATGATTATTTCATTGGCAAAATATTAACTTAAAGCCAAGAATTTTATTGCAAAGCAACTAAGTCTTCAAGATCAGAAAAGTTGAGCTTAAAACCAGTAAGACATGAAAATCCCCCAGTCAGTTCTCCTGGCTCACAGAATTTCTGTTCTATTAAAGTTGCTTGAGAACACTTGAATCAGTCACTACTGATCTTTTGGCTTCTATTAGAAACACAGGAGTAAGTTTCTTTTAAGCTTGAGGTCACGCAATAGTTTGATGAACCACTCATTATATCAGCTTGTTTTCTGTAACTCTTAATGGAAAGGAATTCATTTACTAGATATTATGTGAGTATTGAACTTGGGAAGAACAGCACTGTAACTTATACCTGAATAAAGTTTTATCTAACACACAAATTTTCTCCAACACAGGAATTTGACACAACACTTCTCAGCTATGCATGAGGGCCACTATAAACAGCAAAATCACCAAAAAAAAATATTAAAGGGCTTCCCTATGGATGTCCCTAAATGACCATAAAAGCTGGGATTTTAATTAAGTTTTAGCAAATAAGCAAGTACAAATGTGCACCTACATATTTATATGCAGATTATATAATACATATCATATAAAATAAACTATATATATTTTATATCATATTTATAATGAAAATCAACTGTATTTTGTTTTATAAATAAAACACAAAAATAGTAAATTGAACACAAAGCCAATAAAAGCTCATATTGTTTTTCAAACAGGAAAGATTATATTTTGAGAGTCAGTTCAGTTCCAAAACTTTTCCACTAACTATTTTAAGGCAAATATTCTCTGTTTTACAGCCACCACATTTCTTCTTGAAAGAAAACTTGGAATGTCAATTCTAAGTTTCAACATCTTAACTTCAGCTTCCTGAAGAGTTGAGTAGATAAGAACAATTTAGATAGCTAAAGGTTTTCAGGAGTTGTCCAGTAGCCTTGGTTTCTCAAATCAACTAGGTAGAAGTTTCAAGAATTGATGAACTATGTTGGGCATTGTCCTTGTTCTATAGTTATGCTTACCAGTCATTGTTATACAATAGAAAAGATATTTGATTGGTATGTTTTATATTTGCTTTTGAAATAACATCAATTTCAGTTCACCCTATTGTATATTACAAAGCTGCTGAAACCTACAACTTTCTATTTCTGATTGGCAGATGGCTGCTAACCTTATGAACAGTGGTGTAAGGTTGAATGCCATTTGTCCAGGCTTTGTCAACACCCCCATCCTCAAATCCATTGAGAAAGAAGAAAACATGGGACAATATATAGGATATACAGATCATATCAAGGATATGATGAAATACTTTGGAATTTTGGAGTAAGTAATTCTGAGCAACATACCTTTGAGACAAACAATCAAAGAGGCAGCTATGCTAATAATTGTAAGAAAGTAATGCAAGCTTCAACATCTGGGTTGGTATTTTGAAATTAAAAAATCAGGGGGAAGGCTCTCAATACAAGGCTTTTCATACATTTATGAATTGTTTGGAAATACAGACAGTGACTTCAGCTGTAATCAGATTCCTGGTAGGTTTAAAAGTGACACTTTGTAACTTTTGAGTTATGTTCAAGTACAACTTTGGTGAAACTATGTATGGTCCAATGACTTCAACCTTTTCTACAAAAATAGTTTAAACACACACACACTACACTCAAACATACATACACTCACACTCAGGGAATTGTGTCTTAGTTTAGGTAACTGAGACATTCACAGCACAGCATCATGGCTCTCACATTGAAGAAGCAGAACTGGGTAATTAAATCTGGCTCTATACTGACCCTGAGTGTGTCTATCCAACCTCTAAAACCTCTGTTCTCATGTGTAAATTTGGGATAATACTAAAACAAACTTAGAGACTTTCAAAAGACTTGAGTAAGATGTTCCATACAATAATAGCAACTGGTAAAAAATAAATGCTATTATTATATTATGTATCATCATTATTATTATTCTGTACTGGAGATTGAACTCAAGTCCTTGCCCATGCTAGACAAGCATTGTAACACTGAACTTAACGTGACAATTCAATAAATCTTATTTTAAACTCATCTTAAACTCTCCAATTTCTGATCCAATAAAGATAAGGAAATGATTATTTTCTCAATGTAAATAGTGACTATCAATATTTCCACAAATGACAAAAAGGTACAGATGAAAATCTACTGCTAACATTATTATTATATTATTTACTTAATGTTATTCATTGATTAAAAACTGGAGGTAACAACAGAGTCCCCTGTTCATTATTAAAGGCTTTAGACTCTTCCAAATAGAATGCAAAATGATAAATACCTTGTTCTTTAGTTTTAAAGTACTTTTTTATTTTAGCCCATCAATGATTGCCAATGGATTAATAACCCTCATTGAAGATGATGCTTTGAATGGTGCTATTATGAAGATTACATCTTCTAAAGGAATTCATTTTCAAGACTATGATTCACCTCCATCTCTTGCAGTCATAACTGAAAGCAAGCACAAATGACTTACGTCTGGCCATTTCTCCATTTTATATTGCTTTTCAATGAAATATTACACTCTGAATCTTTCTTTCATGCATTTGAGGTTAATTTTTTTAATAATTAGTGAAGTCTCTGAATAAAAACGTATGACACATTATCATCAACAATACAATACAAACCAAAGCTAAATTGTGACTTGGGTCTCAATAATGACTAAAACAAAGACTATTCAATAATCAAGGAACACTCTTCCTTTCGCAAAATGTATTTTAATTCTTTCTGGAAAGTGTTTTTCAGCATTTCATTTTTAAGGAGATACTTGAATTGTTATTTAAATCACAGCATGTTTATTAAAACTTCCTTTGTTTCTGTTTGTACTTCAAAGCAGAAAGCCACTATATGACAAAGTTTTAGTACCAATAATTTTGTTGTATGCCTTCTTTATATTTAAATATCCATTTGCATATCATGAATATTCATGCAGCATATTTGAGGGCCAGTAGTTAAGTAATAAATTACAGTGTTACTACATCCTAAGTGAAAAATTGGGTTTATGGTAAAATGACAGAAATTAATTGTGACTGTTAATTCACAGCTTAATCTCAAACCAATGTAAAATATTTCTTTTCTATTTGTTTCTAACTTTAATAACTTTGAGTCCAAAAAAAATCTCAGGAATACAACCTTTAACAGATATATCAAAAAAATATTAATGCTTCTAAAATTTTATATGTAATATATCCTCATTATAAATATTACAAATGTATATTTTCCTTAGATTACTTCTTTGTTGATTTGTAATTACTATTAAAATTCCTACCTTTCAATAAAATTCTCTTTTTCTAACCTTTATGTATTATGCAACATTTCTTTGTGTGTGTGTGTGTATGTGTGTGTGTGTGTGTGTGTGTGTGTGTGCGCATGTGTGTGTGTGTGTGTGTATGGAAATAAAACCAATTCTACCACAACCACCACTAGAAAAATGTTTTTTTTATATCACAAAAACATAGAAGTAATAATATTTGTGATTTTATTTTTGTTTCTGTCAGGTGTTTTAAGATTAAGTCATTAATTAATCAACTTGAGGAAATATTCTTTGCAAGTGGTAGTAAAGTAAGAGTCACAATACAAGATTTCCAAACCAATCATTTCCTCTAAGAAATAACATATGTGTGAGTCACCATGCCTGAAAATTTCAGACTTCCCAGCTTGAAACAGAATTTATGCCTGGGAGCTTGATAGGATTTCTAAGGGATACTACAGTGTTTATCTTTCTCTGTTTTAATTCTGCAATAATGAACTACTGTCTTTATTTTCTAAGGAGTAATTTGAACATAAAGGACTAATCTAGGGTTATATCTAGCATATTTGACAGAAGCTCAGGAATTAACTTTAAGAGACATCTGACAAATACAAATTAAGCACAAATTTGTTGTCATATTCTATCTCTGAACAATCACTGAATGGTGAAAGTACATGCAACATTACTCATCATACGTATTTCCCACCATAGTGTAGTTATACTTAAACCTTTAATTTATGATAATTTGTCATGATAGCAGTCACTACACTTCGTGCTTTGGATTAACTTGTCTTTCAACTCAGTAAACTACATAGACCTTTAAAATAAGATAGTGTGTATAGCTAAAATGCATTAGATAGGTTAAAAACTTAATGTTTATACAAATAGTTTTACATAAATATATAATGTTATAGAATACATCTATTTACTGGTTGAAATATCAATTAAGTTGAAGTCCGTGCACATAGCTCAGTGATTGAATGCTTGCAATCATGCACAAAACATTGGGTTGAAGCCCAGCATTACAAGGAAAAAAGGAGAATTAAGTTGAATGTGCAGGGAAGAAATGTTGTTTTACATTATTGCATTTTCAGTAGAAATCCCAATGTAAATAATATAAATCTTTTCAAATGTATTTTCTCTGATCAATGTAGTTACGATTCTGTAAACATCAAATGTACAAATAAATAGCACACAAAAAAATGAAAAAGACTTGAAATCACCCAGACTTAAATTTTCCCATAAAAATCATTTCCCATAAAATAAGGATTATTTAAACTCCATTACTGAGATACCATGACTATCAATTTGGTAACCCAGGTGGCTTCTAAGTTACTAGTGGATGGGTAGCCTTTAAAGTATGGATACACTAAACAACGCGCTGGTTCTTCCCTCAGCAGGACACAATGAGAAGGCACAGCGCCCCGCACGCAGCTCAGAATGGCACATTGTTTAAAACAGATGAACTCTTTTAAGAACTTTCCATTTAATTTTTCTAGACCATTGTTGACGAGAAATCACAGAAACCCTGGAAAGGCAAACCCTCGTTAAAGAGAGATGACTACTGCACTGTAAGAAGGAGAGCCCTCAAATTGCCAGGGCCTCACAAAACAGAAATGTGTTTCTTTCTCACAAAAGAACTCAGTGCAGGTTTAAAGGGAGCAACATTCAAAGCAATAATTCAATAATACAGATTTCATTTTTTTTAGCCAGTCCTGGGGCTTAAACTCATGGCCTATCCACTATCCCTGAGCATCTTTTGCTCAAGGCTAGCACACTTATCATTTGAGCCATAGGGCCATTTCCAGCTTCTTCCTGTTGATTCGGTACTGAGGAATCAACCCCAGGGCTTCGTACTCTAGGTAAGCGCTCTCCCACTCAGTCACATTCCTAGCCCCAGATTCCTTTCTTTTTTCAACCATCATTCAGAGTGTCACGGTCTACTCAAGATAAGACTCAGCTACTTCTCAACAACCTCATGCTGTCCTGTGTCACTTAGAGACCAACTATAATGTCCTCATTTACATGCAAGGATAGGAATGTAGTGTTGGAAAATGAAATTGGCTTGGAATTGGAAGATTGAATTTGATGAATTAAGAGGTATATCTGCCCTTATCTCTCTCATAGTTTAAATATAATACAAATTGAATCCTTAGCAATGTACTTTGCGATGGCTTTTTTGTCATTGTGACAAATACCTGAGTAAAGCAACTTAAGAGGAGGCATGTTTTACTTTGGTTTATGGTCCCAGAATTTCATCCAGGATCAGTTAGCTTGTTGCTTTGGACCTGTGGCTGCAAGGGTCACAAGATGGAACAGAACTACTCACATCATGGTGGTCAGGAAGCAAAGAGAGAGAGAGTAGTAGGAGCCAAGGTCTCAATAACCCCTACGATAACTCCTACAAGGTTCTTCTTCCAATGACTCAACTTCCTCCAAGAAGGCTCCATGTTCTAAAGGTTTTACCATCTTCTCCTAGTGTCACAGAGTAAGCACCAAGCCTTTTGTGCTTTGGGGGAACATTTCAGATCCCAACTGTAGCATATTGACTTTTGCATATTTATAACATTAGCGTTTTAAGAATATCCAATTGGAAATAACATGCACATTTTTCTATTATTATCTTTAGGTCATTGTACAAAGGAGTTGCCATTATCAAAGCAGTTTATGAATACAATATATCTTGATCTCACCCATATTTAATACACCTTACCATCCACTTTAAAATTCAAAAGCAAGCTTCTTTTGAAAAACCAGGAGTTTTATGCTGCTCTCTTTTTATTACTGAACTCATATTCACTTCTTCTCCAGAATTTTATCCTCAAGAACGGTTTCCTGTGTATTACTGTGTAGTCACAGGTCTCTGTAACGAGCTTTCACACATAAATTGAATTTTAAATTTCATTTTCCTATAAAGTCAAAGTGCTAAACAATTTCTTCTGGATTTGATCTAATTAAAATTATAAAAATTCAAAGTTGCCATACTAACATAATATGATTTTAGGGTACAAATTTAAAAGTACTTGGAAATGTATACTTAGTAATGTGAGTGGGTTTTTTTTCCTCAAGTGATTCATATATTCAAAAATAGATACTATTTGTTGGTAAGGATCAGTTCTCACCCTATTCCTATCATAAAATAAGTTTTAGGAAATATAATTCGCTGACAAAGAAGAGTTTTGTTGCAATGGTGCTACTCAGTTTTTAAAATTGTCCTCTAACTTACATGCAAAAGCACATACTAATCACAAATTTAGGTGTCTATTTTCACGTTTTCAAAGCAATGGATTAGAAGGAAGTTTTCTTGTAGAGGATTTATTATTCTGCCCTTTGAGTCTACATGTTTCTCAAGTCTTGGAAAGTACAGCGAAATGGCTTGCCAAAGTATGTTGAGTATGTCCAGCTAACACGCCAGATCCACTCTTTAAAAGAAAGCCAGATCTTATCTGAATTATGTTGCCAGGTAAAGGGACTGACTGCTCCTTTGCCTTTCAACACCTAATCTGCTTCTGTCCGTAGGAGCCTCTCTGAAGAGACTGGACTACCAGGGGAAAGTGGTATTGGACTATTTTCTCCTAGCTTTGTCCCTGAGTCGACTGTATTCTCATCTGTGACACATATACCTACTTGCTATGTTCTGGTTACTAGTCCCTTCTTTGCTATTCTAGCTAATACCCCTGAAGTTACTTCTTGCCCCAGAGTCCTACATCATCCCTGCTATTTCTTTGCAGATAACAACATAAATAATTGTTTTACTAAAGTCTTTTCTAGTTGTTCAGTTTAACAGTGCCATTGGTTTCCTGATGGAGCTATCCTCATTATACAAGAATTTATCTAATGTGTGTAAATAGCATTTACTCTTCCATCCGGAAGTATATGATGCAGGGCGCTGGTGGCTCATGCTTGCATTCCTAGCTTATACTCAAGAGGCTGTGTTCCGATGATGACGATTACAAGCCAGCCCAGGAAAGAAAGGTGAGACTCTTATCTCCAATGACAACCAAAAACCCAGAAATAGAGCTGTGTCTCAAGTGGTAGGGCTCAAGCTTTGAGCAAAAAAAGCTCAGGGTCAGCAGCGCCCAGAGCCTGAATTCAAGCCTTAAGACTGCTCCCTCCTCCCCACATACACAAAGAAGTAGTTGACTAACTGGGCTCATTGTAGATGGAACCGGCATGAAGTGCCTCACACTATTAAAAATAAAAGGAAATTTGGAATAATTAAATGACTTCAGGAATAAAAATAATAATAAAATAACAGAGGATAGTATAATTACTTTATTAACAAATTTATGAGTAAACTCGGTATTTACATAAAATGTTCAAATACCCAAAAAAGACAACTTACCAAAAAATGGCACAAGTAGAAAGCTAAAACCAAATTTATCCAATAATACTTAAATAGATTACAATCTAGATATGTATTTAATATATTATTAAATACTGGTGCAAAAGACAATTCCTTACCCAGATAACTTGACTGCTGAATTTTATAAAATATTTAGGAAAAAGCAATAATTTCAACTTCGCCTTGACTCCTCAAGGTACAGAATCACAAGCATAATGCTTTTATTTCAAAACTTGACAAATCAGTAAAAAGAAAAAACAGTAAGCCAATCTCATTTTTCAAAAATAAACACAAATTTAAGGTTCTAAAAAATTAACAACATAAGTTCTCCTGTATTAAAAGAATTTTTTTTAAATGAACATGTCTGATTCAAATCTAAGCAGAAAGGTATCACATTAACAGAAAAAAAAGAAACATTCATATAGCCATAGAAAAAGCACCTGATAAAATTCATTATCTATTGTTAGTAACAACACCCATAATATGGGTGCTAAACACCCATAATGGAAAGGAAACTGCTTATTCCCATATAGAATAT